AGAGGCAGAGGGAGAAGCAGGCTCCCCGCCTAGCAGGGAGCCCGATGTGGGACTCGATCCCAGAACCCTGGGATCATGACCCAAGCCGAAGGCAGACGCTCAACCTTCTGAGCCACCCAGGCGCCCCCTCCCCTTTTTTTTTTTAAGAGTTTATTTATTTATTTGACAGAGAGAGATCACAAGTAGGCAGACAGGCAGGCAGAGGGAGAGGGAGAAGCAGGCTCCCCGCGGAGCATGGAGCCCGATGCGGGGCTCAATCCCAGGATGCCGAGATCATGACCTGAGCCAAAGGCAGATGCTTAACTGACTGAGCCACCCAGGTGCCCCTTAAATTAAACTCTTACAGAGGTATGTCAAGGCTTCTTCCCACCTGGAAGAAGAAATTACCTAGTTAAAACTGAAGTTTTTCCAAAATAAAATTTAAAAAGCAATATTGTGCCGTTTGGAAAGTTTGTAGCCATTAATATGGGTCATGTCTTATAATACTTATAAGTGATTTATTAAGTTGCAGACAACTCTGGTCCTTCTTTGTAAGTTTCTGACTCTCTCTTCACATACCATGCAGTGATTATCCTTTGTGGCTCCTGTGTTTGAGCCCTTGTGTCCTAGAGAGAGAGAGGAGCAGCCTCCCTAGGAATGCATTCTTTTCACAGAGTGACCCAAGTATATAGTGTGTGGAGTGAGAACACTCTGGACCCTGGGTGGGTGTAGACTTGGATTGTGTATCGGTTGGGTATGTGCAGGAGCCTGCTTGTCTCTCATGGGAATGATTTACAGTGCTGTCATGCCTTTTTTCTTACTGCAGATTGTCTTTGGCTCCATTGTCCTACTGATGCTCTGGCTTCCTATACGTATAATTAAGAGTTTGCTGCCTAATTTTCTTCCATACAATGTTATGCTCTACAGGTGAGTTTTTGAAATTTGGAAGCTTTACTAATTTATTTCTGTTGATATCCAGAGTCCATACATTTAAAACATTCATTTCTAGGGGCACCTGGGTGGCTCAGTTGTTAAGCATCTGCCTTCGGCTCAGGTCATGATCCCAGGGTCCTGGGATCGAGCCCCGCATCGGGCTCCCTGCTCAGCGGGAAACCTGCTTCTCCCTCTCCCACTCCCCCTGCTTGTGTTCCCTCTCTCGCTGTGTCTCTCTCTGTCAAATAAATAAAATCTTTAAAAAAAAAAAAAACAAAAAACATTCATTTCTAAACAGATACTGGAAATCATTTGATAGTTGAATTTGGTCATTTTTGATTATATAAGCATTAGTTTAGCATTTACATTTTCCAAAGGAAGACTTACTTATTTTTCTGCAAATGAAGTGTGCCTTTGTTCAGCATTGAAATGTTTACCATACTTAATGAGAGCATGTTAGCCACAGACATCTTTATATGAAAACCATATCATATATACCATAGTTGCATAGTTAATTATAGATTAAAAGTAAGATATAAGGCTTATGGTTATAAAATCTTTTTGATTTAAAAGCTTAAGTCACCAAAAACCTGTTTTCTACGAACACTCCTCGTGTATTCCTTTTTTTAGTGACTTGCATTATCCTTTCAGTTACCTGAACAGAAATCTGCCAGGAAATTTGGATTTCTTCCTCAGATTTCTTTTCTTTTTTCAAGATTTTATTTATTTGACAGAAAGAGAGAGAGAGCACAAGCAGGGGGAGCGGTAGAGGGAGAAGGAGAAGCAGGCTTCCCGCTGAGCAGGGAGCCTGATGCGGGGCCTGATCCCAGGACTCTGGGATCATGACCTGAGCTGAAGGCAGATGCCTAACCGACTGAGTCACCCAATTATTTCTAATTGGTCTTTAAATCTTTTAAGTCTCATTTTATTTTTTTAGAGATTTATTTATTTATTTTAGAGAGAGCATATTAGTGGGGGAAGGGACAAAGAGAGAGGGGGAGAGAGAATCCTCAAGTACACTCCCTGCTAAGCATGGAGTCCCAAATGGGCTTGCTCCCAGGACCCTGAGATCATGACCTGAGCTGAAATCAAAAGTTGGACACTTAACCAACTGAGCCACCCAGGCGCCCCAAGTCTCCTTTTAAAAGATCTCTTATCTAATCCAACTTGATTTACCACTTCCTTAGTTTAGGCCTTCCTCTTCTTCTCCATTTATAACCCATCCTTAACACCCTGCCTCTCCATAATCTACGTGATAATATCTGGGTCATTTAGAAAGACACGCAAGGCTTGGCATAATCTCACATTGACTTTCCAGCGTCTTGTCCCAGCATTGTCTGACTTGAATTCTGTTCTCCAGCCATGTTCCCCTCCATTAAGTCTCCCTAAAATACTTAGCTATCCCTTGTTTTTCCCTTTCTGTTTGGGATAACCTTCCTCCCCCTGTTTGCCTGGCAAGCTTTTGTTATCTTTCCTCAAAATCCAAATTAAGGTTTTATTCTCTGAGTTTTTCCCTAACTAAATCATTACTCCCTCCTTATGTATTTGGATCTGGTCATGGAACCAGGAAGCACAGGTTTTGGCTTTAGATATTGTTAGGATAGACCCATTTTGGTAGTCAGTTATACCTAGAAGTTTAGCAAAGTTTTTGGACTACATAGTGGTTTTTACTCCCATTCTTCCATTAAAAACAATTGAGGGCCCATGATATGCCTGGTACTTTTCTGTGCACTACATATATAACAGTGAACAAAACAGAATCAGGAAAATTCTGTTCTTGTAGCACTTATATTTCAGTGAGGGGGAGACAGCCATAGAAATAGATAAAACATAGTATAGTATATCAGGGGCCATAAATACTGTGGGGAAAAATGAAGCAGACAAAGGGAATAGAGAGAGTGGTCAGAATGGGGTTGTAATTTAGAAGTGACTGATGGGGACCTGAGGAGGGGACAGTTGAGGAAAGCCCTGAAGGAGTGCTGAGGGAGTGAGCCATGTGGATTCCTGGAGGTAGAGTGTCCTTGCAGGGGGTCGGGCAAGTACAGTGACACTGAGGTCTGTTTGAGGAGCAGCAGGAAGGCCAGTTCGGCTGGAGTAGAAGGAAAGCATGGTAGTTGGCTGTGAGGTCAGAAAGGTCATGGGAAGTCAGATCCTAGAGAGGCTCCTAAGCCAGTGTAAGCACTTTGGCTTTAACTTGAGTGATTTAGGGAGTTTCTTGGAAAGGTTGGAACAGAAGAGTGATCTGGTGCAGATTAACGAGTATCACTGTGGCTGCTGGAATGAGAAGAGACTGGCTCAGGGTGGCCAGGGCAGGAGCAGGAAGCCAGCTGGGAGGATAATGCAGGGATCCTGGTGGGAGGGGAGGGTAGCTGAGGTGAAGGAAGTAGCCGTGGAGGTCATGAGAATTGAGATTTAGGGTATTCTTAGAGTCCACTCAGTAGGACTCTTTGAGTGTGAAGTGAAAAAAAGGCAGTCAAGGATGGAAGTTCCTGTCCTGAGCATCTGGAAAGATGGAGTTGCCATTTACTGAGGTGAGGAAGGCTGTGGGGGAACAGGATTAAAAGGGAAGAGTGCAAATTTGATAATGATCAATTTAAGATGTCTAATGTCTATAGGAGACACTGAGTTGGCACTTGGGATATAAAGTTGGGAGTTAGGGTAGATGTCTGAGTGGTACATAGAAATTTACAGAAACATGGTATTTTAAGCCACATGAGTTTGCTTTTATCCAGAGAGCATGCATAGATGAGTGGAGAGAGGAGCAGAGCCTGGGACCCTCATTGTCTCCAGCCCAGGGAGCTGAAGGACAACTAACAGATCTAGAAAGTCATCTAGGGAGAATGTGTTTTGAGGAGCAAGGAGTGACCGGTTGTGTAACGTGTTGCTACACAGCAAGTGAGGTGAGCACCACGACTGATCATCAGGTTTAATGACACCAAGGTCATTGGTGATCCTTGTGGGGAACAGTTTTGGAGGAGTCGGAGGGGGAAGCCTTGCTGGCTTCAAGGGAGAGTGGGGGAGAGGTGATAACGACAGTGAGTTCATAAGACTCTTCCAAGGAGTTTTCCCATCAGATGTTTAACATTTGATATAGTTATAATGGAAAATAGATTCATATTGTGAATTACAGCTGTTTTTAATTGTCTTAGTGATGCTCCAGTGAGTGAACTGTCCCTTGAGCTGCTTCTGCTTCAGGTGGTCTTGCCAGCGCTGCTTGAACAGGGACACACGCGGCAGTGGCTGAAAGGGCTTGTGCGAGCATGGACTGTTACTGCTGGATACTTGCTGTAAGTAGGCCCATGATAACCCTTCTGTACATTCCATGCACCTCCCCCCTCCCCCGCCGCCACCTCAGGAAATAGTAGTTTTAAGAAGAGACCATTTAGTGGTATCTGCAGGTTCTTTTAATTCTTAATTTTTCTTATTTTTCTAATTATTATTGTCCGTTCTTTTATGGAGAAGGTATGCATGTTTTTACCGTCTTACAGAGGTTTGCTGCTGGCCCAGGTTCTTTGACTGCATTACACAGGGTATAAGTAAACATTTTTTTCAGTGCATTAAAAGCAAACCAACTTAATCCTGATTATTTTTTAAATTTTATTTTATTTAAAGATTTGAGAAAGAGAGAGTGGGGGGGGGGCGGGCAGAAGGAGAGGGAGAAGCAGACTCCCCACCAAGTAGGGAGTCCAACAGGGGCTCCATCCCAGGACCCCGGGATCATGACCTGAGCTGAAGGCAGAAGCTACACTGACTGAGCCACCCAGGCACCCCAATCCTGATTATTTTAGAAGTCCTATCCTGGCAAGTGGTTTCTCCGGCATTTAGTCAACACGTTGCCTTTTATTTTTTTCAAGCTTTCCATATTAGATACTTATTTTAAAGTTGGATCTTTGTAATTTAAATGTTTCTTTCAGAAAATATGTGGTATTCTGCAGAGACCTTACCGTGAAATCTGCATTTGGTTGTATTGGGTTGAGCAGGTGCCTGTCTCTGCCTGCCCCAAGCTGCCTCCTCCTCGCCCTGGCATGTTTGCCATGACTGAAGTGTGGTCTGGAGGTTGTAGCTGAGCTCCACGCCACAGCAGACATGGTAGCTGAGCTGAATTTGTGGGGTGTTGTGGACATTAACATTAAATTTGGAAAGGTTTACTTTAAAGCAGGTACCAACATTTAGACCAGAATGAAGTACTTAACATTGCTGTGTACAGATTCTACTTGTACATTTTCTACCTTAAGTAATAATAAGAAAGTAAGTCTCATGTCTGCTGTTTATTCTGATCTGAAGTGAGAATGTAATTTTTACACAGGGATCTTCATTCCTATTTATTGGGAGACCAGGAAGAAAACGAGAACAGTGCAAATCAACAAGTTAACAATAATCAGCATGCTCGAAATAACAACGCTATTCCCGTGGTGGGGGAAGGCCTACATGCAGCCCACCAAGCCATACTCCAGCAAGGAGGGCCGGTTGGCTTTCAGCCTTATCGTCGGCCTTTAAATTTTCCACTCAGGGTAGGTACTATAAGACTGAAGTGGAAGTCAAGTTTTTTTCAAATGTCTTTTGAGAAAAGTGCTATTAGCACGTAGTCCTCTGTATAGACATATCTTACAGTCTCCTGACAAGAACCCCTAGCCCTCCCATTAGCAGCCTGATACATGTAAATATCAGGTAAGTTTATCAGATTTTAGAGATGGATCATAGTGTTGGGATTCTGTGTGCTTTTGCTCCCTGCTGTTTGAGAGCAGCAGTGTTAAAGACCCTAGTGAAAATAAGAAATTAACATTATTGATCTAGTTTAGCTATGTGTCAGGAACTGGAATGGGCATTCTATTCTAATGTTTTTCCCACTTACTATCCATCCCAATACTGCAAAGGAGTAGTAATCTCATGTTTACATCTGATGAAACTGAAGACCAGACTGGTTAAGGAAGTGCCTGTCCCAGCACAACTTTCCCCCCAAACTCCACCAAAACTCTTCCTGACAGGGGTCGCCATGGTGGCTTTTGTGTTGTTAAATTTGATCCTCAGGCCTTAGTCCTCACCTCACTTGCTATATGGTAACTTGTTGCACAGTTGGTCACTCCTTGCTCCACAGAACGCTTTTTTGGAAGGCATTCAGGAATCCATGTGGAGGAGGTGATGATTTTAAGTCTCCAAGGTTAGGCCAGACAGAGAACAAAATGGAAAAACGGAAGGGCACTCCAGGTACGTGCCAAACCAAGAGGCAGGTTAGACATGGTAGGTTTGGAACTGCAGGGAATTAAGTGTATCTAGAGGGTGGGGTGTATGCAGGTGAGCGTGAGAGATGGGAGGAGTCCTGGGAGATGAGGCTCTTAGATGGGCAAAAGGTACTTTCTGGCCCAGATCAGAGACAACCGGTAGGAGGTTTCTTAAGCAGCGAAAGCTGACAGCCTTAAAGGCTCCTCTTTAGAGTGTGATTGTACGTGCTTTTCAGTCTTCCCGCTAGAGCTTTGCCTTCTGGGCAGGGGAAGAGGGGTGCCTGGTAAGGTAGAAGGCAAGCAACCCTTGCTCCTTTTCTGCCCAGGGCAGCTGCTTTCCTCTTAGTGTGTTCCCTTTTTATCTGCTCTTCTCAGTGCAGGAACCCCTAGCTACGCGTGGCTATTTACATTTAAACTTAATTAAAAGTGAATACAATTTGTAAGGATGTGGTATGATGATGTGTTAATTACTTTAATGGTGGGAATCCCTTTACAATGTGTACATACAGCAAATCCCATTGTACACTTTATAATTTTGTCAGTTACACCTCAATAAAGCTGAAAAAAGAAAAAAAATCATACTTTTCTAGTGGGATTACACCAGAGTAAATGCAGTGTAAAATTTCATTACTCGTTCACCCTGACCGTGTGTCTGGTGCTCCGTGACCACTTGTGCTGGTGGCTGCTCTGTCGGGCCGTGCAGCTTCCACAGAAAGTTCTAATTGGACAGCACTCTCCTTTCATAAAAACTTGTTTTTGAGAATTTGATTAAAAAGGGAATGTTTTTAGTTTTAATTAATAGGGAAAATTTAAGCTGGTTATGTTTTATTTGTATGCTCTCTGATAAAAAAATATATTTACTTGTTACTTGCTGATGTATCTGACTATATGAAAATATATTTCAAATATTTTCTTTTGGCCAAAATTACGGTAATTTTACCTAGAATAAAAATACCTTTTTATGTGAAATGGAAGGAAACCTGGAAATATAGGCAATTGATTTTTACTGTGAGAATTGTGCTGATTCTTTGAGGGGTGTCATGTTGAGCACATGAACCATTTATGCAGTCTTATGTTTTGCCTTACAGATTTTTTTGTTGATTGTCTTCATGTGTATAACCTTACTGATTGCCAGCCTCATCTGCCTTACTCTACCAGGTATGAGCTAATGACGTGAGAAGATGCTTTGTATCTTTCATCAAGTATAAACTTGAAATAGTTTGCCCCTTATTTTTGATTGAATATGGGATATTGATCTTTTTAGGGCTCCCCCTCTCCTTGGAGTCATTTGTACTGGAACAGAGGGGTGAACAAAATCAAGATAAAATTCCTGATTCAGTTTTAGAAGTAAAGTATATGTGGTCGCTCAGTTTTCTTGGAGATAGTCTCTTTATAGAATGGGTTTTCAAAAAGTTATCTGTGGCTTAAATCATTTTTTCAAGCCAGTCTTTTGATGTTAATTATGTTTGCCCTCACTGTATCTTTCCAGTCCACTGTATGGTGTAACTAGACACTTTATAAAGTCAGACTGTTTCCCTTTATCATCTGGTATTCAAAAATACTAATCTTTAAATTTTGGCTAGACACCATCTCCTTATCTAACAAGTAAGACACTGTGGATGAATATAATAGTTTGTCATGTTCTGCAAAGGTCAGAGGTAAATGGGGTCGAGTCCAAAGCCAGTGACAAAGTCTCAGGAAGAGCTTGCTGCCCCCACCCTCCCAGTTAGTGTGTATAGCAAGCAAGAAAATTCTAAATCATACTGATACATGTTAGCTGCTTAAGAAATCATTAAGTGGAAGATAGTTTTCATCTCTTACAAGCACATAAATGTATATTGAGTTAGTATCTTGATTATAGCACTACCTTTATAATTTTATAAATCAAATTTGTATTAAATACTTGAGTTTTTCCATGAGGGCTAATAAGGTCAGGAAGGAGCAAGTAGAAAATATAATTCCAAGTGAGGTTTCTAAAAATAATGAGAATATTCTCTAATCTGTAGGAATTGTGATTTAACGACAAGTGGTGATAAAAATTTTTTTGCATGTTTCTGAATAATGACTTTGACCTTTAGAACTGTGCTTGCTAAATCCTCACTACTCATAATCACAGCTGTTAAAATGACAAAGTGATTAACGGTTAGGTGCAGTGTAGTAAACATATTGCTGAGAAAACTTAGTTTTTGAATTTTGGACTGTTTTACATTTGTGGTTTTTATGTTCCATTTTCATGTTTTTATCAGAAATATTAAGAAAAACTTGAAGGAAACGTAGTACCTGAATTTGGCAGTAAAAGGACTTTAATTTCATTAAATATTGTTAACTGAATATTTCCCTGTTAACCCAATCTCACCATCTAATGGGAAGAACATAGTCATGTTTAATCCTAGAAATGCTTGGTGTCATATATGCATTTAAGGTGGCGAAGGAGGCTGTTTCCCTCCATGGTTTACTTTCTGATGATAATTTACTACAAATTAAAAACTTAACCCTGTCCTCTCAAAAACACTTGATTAGAAGTATGTGAAATTATATCTATCTATCCATGTGTTTGTTTCACATAACATTTGTCTTTAAAAACAACTTGTCTTCACACCCAAACCATTTTGGGAGGTTGCAAAGAAGTCTTACGAGCATTGCGGCTTGTAAGACTTAACTGTTGATGAGCTGGTTTAATTTAATTGGAGGCAGTGTGGTTCATTGGTCAAGAGCATGAGCTTTGTCACATAGGCATGAGTTCAAATTCAGCCTCCACCCGCACATGACCTTGGTTGGGCAAGGTTCTGTTGCTGAGCTTTGGTTTCCTAATCTTCAGAATGGAGATATAGTGGCTACTTGGGGGATTTGGGGAGGATTAATGATATAATACATGGAAAATGCTCAGCACAGCCATTAGCTTCTTTTAGGTATTTGAAAATAATAAATAGTACTGTATTAAGAGGAAATCAATCCATAGAAAAATACACAAGACATTTGGACCTTGCTGTTCTCTCTAGCCTTATTGAGGAGTATAACCATGTGAAGAAAGTTACTTTATAAATCATCTTGCTTGATGTAGATTTTTATTGGTACATGGTAGAATTTATTTGTATTCACTCTTTATCTGAGGCAGTTTTTACATAGATAGCCATATATCTCATTTATCAGCCTTTCTATTTTCAGTATTTGCTGGCCGTTGGTTAATGTCATTTTGGACGGGGACTGCCAAAATTCATGAGCTCTACACAGCTGCTTGTGGTCTCTATGTTTGCTGGCTCACCATAAGGGCAGTGACGGTGCTCGTGGCATGGATGCCACAGGGACGCAGAGTGATCTTCCAGAAGGTTAAAGAGTGGTCCCTCATGGTAGGTTTTTCTAATAAAGAACTGATCTTATATGACAGGAGTAGTGGATATTTTTTTTCAGTCGTTTCTTTAAATCTTTTCACTTTCATTTCTTCATTATGCTGATAGTGTCAAGAGAATTGATTTTTTTTTTTTTTTAATTAGAAGGACTATTCCTTTAAGACAGTAGTAGCTTTCTGGTTCATTCTGAGAACCATGGTCAGATGTGTCAGATGTATTCAAGGGTCAAAAGAAAATCATGCTATTAAGTGATCCAGTTAGGCCCTTAAGTAAGTAATGCAATTAGAAAAGTTGTTTTGGAAATTCTTAAAGAATAAGATACTCTGTAGAATTTAAAATCAGTTTAAGTGAAAATTTCCTTTAAGATATTTTTTCTAAAATTTGATTTTTTGATCTATTTGAATATGTAAAAATCTTGACTTCAGGATTAAGTTTTACATGTTTTTCATATAAATGGGATTCCTTTAATTACACATTCTATTGCTAATTCAAGAATGTCTTGGCTAATGTGAAAGTGTAGTAAGTAATGGAAATTATTACTCAGTAAAGTACTTAGTTGCACAAAGGTGGGGAAAAAAATGGCAGTGTAAGATGATTGTCCAGGGGTGGTGATTTATTGATTGTGATGTTGGCTATGACTGGTAAATAGGTTTAGGTCACTACTTATGCCTCTTCTTTTGTATAATCCTAGTTTTGTATCTGAATTTAGATTTTCATTTCACTGAAAGGTTAATATTAGTGTTGAAAGAAAAACATGAGATTTATTTTATATTATGAACAGAGGGCTTTAATTGCTATTTAATTCCACAAGATAATGAGACACATAACTATATTTAAAATACAGAAACCAGCTAATACCAGTTTTCATTTGATACTCTTCTTGATCTTTAGTATGCCATTTAAAACAAGTAGTGCATCTTCACCCACATCGTATTAGTCTCTTGTTGAAACAGCAGACATACTCATTGAGGCTACCTTAAGAAAAAGGGAGGTCCTCAGACATCAGAGCCACTCTAAAGACTCCTTTCTTCATCAGGATTCTGTAGTGATGCTTTCATAGTCTTTCTTTTTTTCTCTTTGTTTTGACTTTCATTTTGTGTTGCTTTGTTCAAATTCTAGAGCTGTGGCTCTAGCAATGTGGCTAATGGCTACCATACTGGCAACACAGATATAGGACATTTCTGTCATCATAGTGAGTTTTGTTGGACCATAGAGGGTTCTGAAGGGAGCTAGTTTGATCAGATTGATTAATTACCTTCATTGGGGTTTAACAGAGCCCTTCTCCCTATACCAGGCCACCTCAGGGGTCACAGGTCAGCCTTTGAGTTGGCCGCCATTGGAATAGCAGCTTGGGATAATCAGTAGCTTTTCTTGGACAAACAGAAGCCTACTTCTGAGAATGAGATTGAAAAAAATAGCACAGCCACCTGATTAATATATGTAATAAAATGAATTTTTTAGAATTTTATAGCAAAAATGCATAATAATTTCATGCTTCTGTTATAGCTTGAGCTTGTATATACACATTCAAATTTCAATTAATGGTGTAACATAAAATGTATGTGAGGTAATAATATTTTCTGTTAGGCATCAGGTTAAAGAAGAAAAATAAATTTCCAAATGGAATAGTTTAGCTGAAAATCAGAAAGACTCTCTAGTGACATGGCCTCGTTTCCTAATAGATCATGAAGACTTTGATAGTTGCCGTGCTGTTGGCGGGAGTTGTCCCGCTCTTGCTGGGGCTCCTGTTTGAACTGGTTATTGTTGCTCCCCTGAGGGTTCCCTTGGATCAGACTCCTCTTTTTTACCCATGGCAGGTAAGTGCCTGACTTTTGCTCGTGATTTTTCTTTGTGGACCTCGGATCAGAAAAATCCTTCATTTTTTTTTTTTTTTTAAATGATTATAGGTGGTTTGTTTAGAAAGACTCCTTATTTTTTTCTATTGTAGGAACCCTTATAAAATCGATTAAATAATGCATTTTAATCTATTGCCTTCAGAATATGCAGGTCATATAATTCCTTTAAAAGGTCTTTATAGGTTGAAATGTCACTATTCATTTAGGCTTCACATGATATTTAAAGATACAAACTAACATGCATTGATCTTTCCACTTTTTAGTTAGGGTGATATATCTTGCTTCTTTTAGGTTTGAGACTTTAAGCAGTAACTTACATTTTTAAAATAATTACAGCATGTTTTCCCACAAAGTCACAGGCTTATTAAAAAGAGCATTCTGACGAACTTATATAGGTCACAAAAGATCTTAAAGCTAGTAGGGAAACTTTTCTATAGTATTTAGAGCCGGAAATTAGCATCATAGACTTCAAATTCTTAAGAGATCCTAGGGGAAAGAGCTAGGCACTGACTTCGGTCATTCAGAGGCTTCTCAGCCTTGTTTCTGTTTCCTCTTGTATATGACAGTGGATTTACTGGAAATGAAAATTATGTGGGATTTCCCTTCCTCTCCTTTCCAGATGAAGAGCTCCACAAAAACTTCATTTAACAGCACATATTTACATTAGTGCTAAAACCCTGTATTGTATAACTCACTCAGATGGAAATGAGGCCAATGCAGGAACTTCTTGTGCACCTTACAGGCAGGTGGGCCAGACAGACAGGTAACAGGTAGGCTGCTCTGTGACTGGGGCAAGCACAGGTTGCTGCAGCATCATGTGGGAGAGGTATTTATCCTGGTTTTGGGAGTTGGGATTTGGTTTTCTGTAGGGGACAATGTCTAGGACAACCTAGTAGAGTATAGAGGAATGGGTAAGAAAGGAAAATGATACTCTAGGAGGGAGGAGGGGGCAGACCACGCAGTGAGACAGAGCATATGTTTGGAACTGCCTCAAATCCAGTGTGCTCTGGATCAGACTCGGAGAGGAGAGTGAGAGAGAGAGGGAAATAAGCACATGTGATGTCTTTGTATAAGAGATGTATCGCAGTATAGTCAGATAGCATCAGGGATTGAAGGAAAGCTGTTTTTTACAGAATCATGCCAGCTAACAAATGTAGAGGAATTAACAGATTTAGAAAATCAGTATTTTGCGGGCGCCTGGGTGGCTCAGTTGGTTAAGCGACTGCCTTCGGCTCAGGTCATGATCCTGGAGTCCCAGGATCGAGTCCCGCATCGGACTCCCTGCTCAGCAGGGAGTCTGCTTCTCCCTCTGACCCTCCCCCCTCTCATGCTCTCTCTATCTCATTCTCTCTCTCAAATAAATAAATAAAATCTTTAAAAAAAAAAAAAAAAAGAAAATCAGTATTTTGCAATAGTTAACAAAATAAATGATTCCAGCAAGGATTGTCAGTGGATACGGAACCCATCAGGTGAAGGTCGATGGGTCTTCAGTTACTATTGCTGCCTAGCAAGTTATGTCACAACTGTGTGGCTTAAAACAACCATTTATTGTGTCCAGAGAGTCTGCAGGCTAGAAAATAAGACCGGCCATATTGACTTGTCTCTGCTCCATGTTACCTGGGGCCTCAGCTGGGAAGACTCAGTAGCCGAGTGTGTTTGAGAGCTGTGGCAGGAATCCTTTGGAAGCATCATCACTCACCTGTGAGGATTGACATTGGTTGTTGGTTTCACCCCAACTGGGCTGTTGGCTGGAGCTCCTGGATGTAACTGGGCTTCCTCACAGCTTGGTAGCGTCAAGGTAGTTGGGCTTCTTATACTGCACTTGAGAGAAAATGAGTGTCCCAACAAGGTAGGAGCTGCGCCACCTTTTATGACCTCATTTCAGAATTCCCACAGTATTGCTTTTCACTACATTCTGTTGGATACAAGCAAGACACAGTGGTTGGCCCAGATTCAAGGTAAGGGGCTATAGACCCCAACCACCTAATGGGAGAGGAATTTGCAGGCATGTTTCACACCACTACAATGCAGAAGTAGTTATTTGAATGGTGGCAGTGTCCTCTTACAGATTACTTGATATCCCAAAAGAAAACACAGAACATTACTATGGAAGGAGGTCAGACAGATGCTGCCTTAACCCGGTAATCACTGCAAATGCAGCAAATAGGTACTGTTTGCGTCTTGATGTTATGCAGTGTGCAGCACTGAAAAAGAGCAAGTAGCCCCTGGTATCCAGGAGCTGGCCTAGCATCATCAGCTAGGCCTTGGTGTTCTCCTGTCTGGCAGAAATTTCACAGAACATCAGCATCACACAAGACCACTCTGTGACCGTGATGGAGCCAGACAAAAGCAAGACCCTTTCATAATCCTGTCTGAACACAGGCAAAACATGAGCATTGTCCAAACCGCAGAAATGAGAAGACACCCCCCCATTCCCAGCTAACATCATTGGCTACTACAGTTTTAGCCTCAGTCAGTCCCTGCTTTTGGATAGAATTTAGTAAGAGACCCAATATAGATTACCTCACTTTCTAAAGGATTTGACATAGAGCAAAGCCCTGCTTCCTTAAATTCTCTCCTAGCACCTCAAACAAACCGAAATACTATAATAAGCTTTTCTAACATTCTTAGTGAGCACCCCAGCTTCTGCATACTGTGTGTTCCTCCTCACTGCAGTGAGCAGTAAATGCAGCTTGCACGATTACATGTGTGTCCTTGGTGGTCTTGACAGTACCCAACATTGTCATTTTGCAGAGTAACTGGAAACTATACAGTTTTAAGAATATTTATATTTATGACCTAGCAGTTTCACTTTTCCAGATCTGCTGCAAAGAAATATTTACATGTGGGCGCCTGGGTGGCTCAGTTGGTTAAGCGACTGCCTTCGGCTCAGGTCATGATCCTGGAGTCCCGGGATCGAG